ACTGAACCCTGGCAAGACTGAGTGGCTTTGGGTTTGGGGTCCTGCTGGTTCTGGGACTATACCATCTTTGGTGCTGGATGGGGTGGTACTACCCCAGACAGACCCAGTGCACAATTTGGGGGTCCTCCTAGACGCATGACTCCTGCTCAAAGTGCAGGTGGCAGTCATGGCTAGGAGAGCCTTTGCACAACTCTGGGTTGGGCGCCAATTGCACCCTTTCCTAGATCAGGAGGATTTGCTCAGAGTTACTCATGCCCTAGTCACCATCAGATTGGACTATTGTAATATGCTCTACATGGGGCTGCCCTTGAAGAATATCCAGAAGCTTCAACTGGTACAGATTGTGGCAGTGCGGGCAGTTATGTGTGCTCCTAGAAGAGCACACATTATACCTATGCTTCGTGAGTTGCACTTGCTGCCAGTTTGCTTCTGGGTCCAATTCAAGGTGCTGGTTTTGACCTTTAAAGCCCTTCATGGCATGGGGCTGGGTTATGTGAGGGACTGCCTCTCTCTGATCACATCAGCCCGCCCCATTAGATCCGGCAGGGAAGGTACGCTATGCATTCCATTGGCCAGGGACTTGCATTTGGAGGCAGGCCTTCTCTGCCATGGCTCCTTCCTTGTGGAATATTCTCCCCCATGAAGTGAGGCTCGCCCCTTCCCTGCTGTCATTTAGGAAGTCCCTCAAGACCTGGTTGTGTCATCAGGCCTGGGGGTCTTTGGGAATCAGAGACATTTGCTGTCATTTAGGAAGTCCCTCAAGACCTGGTTGTGTCATCAGGCCTGGGGGTCTTTGGGAATCAGAGACATTCTTAGATAGCTCCACTGTAAGTGATATTATGCTCTCTCTGTGGGGTTTATACATTTTAATTTTTTAAAAATCTTTTTTAAAATTTCTGATATTTTTATTCTAATAATAACTTTTTATCTTTTTATAATGCCTGTTTTTATTCACTTGTTATTTTATTTTAATTGTTGTATGCCGCCCAGAGTCGCTTTGTGAGATGGGTAGCTATATAAATGTGATGTATAAATAAACAAATAAATAAACAATGTTGCTCTTGCATTGCAAGCAAGATAAATAATTCAGTTCTAAGAATCAGAATCTTTTGTTGCTGATGACTTTAGAAGGGACACTGATACAACCTTACCGTACTTATGCCAGCTCCTGTATATACAATAAGATGTTTAGCTCCTCGGACAACAGCAGAGAGCTTGCTGACTTTTCTCTTCAATTCGTCGGGTTCATCACACACCTAAAAAAAAGAGTAAGAATTTCATATTTTCAAAATGTTAAAATCCACACATTTCTTTACTTGCTTTTGTCCCTTCTCCCCACTCTTCATAAGGAAGGTCATGAACTAGAGAGCAGTGCTGCAGAAGGAATACTCTATAAGTCAATAAAGGATTTAAAGAAGTTTCTGATAAGTAGGGAAAATGCAAGCAGTTTATCAAGAACATGAAGATAACTAAGTGTATTTATTTGGAAAGCTTTTTGCCACAATTTGTATTCTTCCACGCACATGAAATGTGAATCAAAGCAGAGAGTGGATTTTACAATATCAACAAGCCAAATTAGAAATTACATACTCTTGTGAGAAAGCACGGGCTCCCCTACCACATGCATATAAATCTATTTGGTGCCTCAATGAAACATGCAGAAACTATTCACTGATATATTTATCTCTACTATCTCTGCCTTTAACTATTATCTTTCTTCTTCAGAAAGAAAATTAATTGCCAAGAAAAGAGTTACAGATAAACTACTGGTTCCTTTTCTGTAAACTTGATAGAAATCATACCTAGTTTTGTCTGTCAGCAAGGAAAACCACAAAACTCTCAACAAGCAAAACTAGTTCAACAGACAATTAGGTTGTTTAAAGCTTATGCAGAATAACCAAATGAGTCACAGAGAATTAGATCCAGATATGCCCTTCCAGAAACAGAAGGGCTTCAGTTCACAACTGGAACTGAAATCCAATGAAAACTTATCCTGAAAGAAGCTACAGAAGTAACTTCAATTTCTTGTTTTTGTTTTTTGTAATTAACAGTCATCTCCCTTGCTACCTTCTTACCTTCATGAATAGCTTTTTGGATGCTAAGCAAAACTTCAGATAGAAGGAAGAAATGGCACAAATTACATTCTCTTTAACCATGAGCACAAATATCACACAGAGATTCAATCTCTGTGGCAAGTGCTGTTTATAATAAACATTTAAAGGTCAATTTACATGTGAAGCTTTTGGTATACCTACATCTAAATAAACTAGTAATCATAAAAAAGCAAAATGTAAAAAAATTGGCAACAATGGAAAAGGTATCCAAGCAGATCCTTAACAAAAGGAATTAATTTAATAATAAGCTTTTAAGATGTAGAGAACCAGTTGCATGTGAAGATTTTCTTCACAGGTTTTGGACAGTATAAAAAGCTTTGCATATCTATTCACAAGGAAAATTAGATAATTAAATATTTCTACTTTCTAAGGTCAATAAAATGGATACTAGTGGAATATAAATATATTACCACTACTTTCCACTATAGTAGTTAACTATATGAAAAGATAGTTATGTGTTATTTATCTCACCTCCCGAACACAGAAGTCTTACAGATGTGACAGATTTATTCTGCCATATGCTTTTTTCCCTGCTAACTAAAGTACTCTCTAGCCATTCTTGAATAGATGGAAAACTAAACCTGCATGAAATTTACTGTTCCCATTACCAATCCCTTGGTAATGAGTTGCTCAGAGTGATACCATCTTGCATCTATAGGTCAGAATTGTGCAGGCAATGGTTTTCTGCATGACGTTCTATAGAAGTGAAAATTTGACTTTGAAGAATCAAAATAGAAAGAGTATTGACACCTTTGAACTTTGGTGTTGGAGAACACTCCTGAGAATGCCGTGGACAGCCAAGAAAACAAATAAATGGATCATCAAGCAAATCAACCCAAAATTTTAACTCGAGGCACAAATGGCCAGGCTGAAATTATCATACTTTGGACACATTCTGCACAGATCTAGTTCTCTGCAGAAGTCTCTAATACTTGGAAAGGTGGGAGGAAAGTGAAGAGGTCAACCAGCCACAAGGTGGATGGATTCAGTTACAGTGGCAATGGGTGAACCATTGGAAGACCTGAAGCACCAGACTGGGGACAGATCCTCCTGGAGAAAATCTGTTAGTTGCTAAGAGTTGACACTGACTTGAGGACACATAATCAATTGTGCATATATTTCTGGTAACTGCCAATCACCTGACTTCCCTCCATCCTAATAGACAACAAAGCTTAGCCGATTTCACACACCTTGAAGCTGCTCTTGGACCTGGCAAAAGAATTTAACACCCGTCCGACTAAGGCCACTTAACTGTCAAACTTATGAGCTGAGGATGAGATGAAGAAAATATCATAGGCGGAAAGATATATCGCCAGGACATGTGTGAGAAAAAGCCCTCAGGCAATGAACCGATCAGTGCCCTGACAGCACGGCTAAAAACGTACCCACCTCCTCTAGCCGGCGCCGCAGCCTCTCACGCTTCTTGCGAAGTCGCTCCAGATCCCGCACCATCTCTTGGCAGCCAGACAGAAGCATCGCCTCGTCGGCGCTCCGCTCAGCCGCGGGTTTGCGCAGGATCCGGGACACCTGGGGTCGAACGAAGAAACAGCGAAAGGGAAGGGGGCGTGTTGCCAGGCCAGCCCGCGGCCGCACCGTGAGAAGCACCGCCCGCCTTGATCTCCGGCAACCTCGTAGTACCTGCCTCCGTCGTTCCCGCTGCTCTTCTTGCCGGAGGAATTCAGCGCGAGCCGCCGCCTTCCGCTCCGAGCGACTCAAACTTCGACCGGCCGCCATCCTCTCGGTAGTTTCCGGGTTCCTATCGGCCGAAGCGAAGGGTTCGGCTACTTCCGCTTCCGGCCGCTCGCCACGGATGACGCTCGACAGCAACTGCTTGCTGCCCTAGGGACGCAAATGATGTTCGCTGCCGCTGCCAGGCTCTTCGTTCCAAGATAGAAGCCTGGGATGTAGCCCTAACCGCTACTTCCGGTTAGGCTCTGCCTTCCAATGTGGAAGAGACGGGCCTTTCAACCTACAGATGCAACAGGAAAGAACGTCGACGCTCTACCGACATTTCTATTACCTCCATAGAGAACGGGGCCGGATTGCTGCTCCCTCCTTGCTGGAGAAAGTGCGCTCTCTTTCGGATTGGGTGTTTAAAAACGACACTGGCGCGTGCTGTACAGGATTTGCGTTGTTCCGTTCGCTCCTTCTCCGAGACCTCCGAGCTGGAATGTAGTGACCACGCATGAAACACTAGCTCGCGGATTCTGGCGCTGCTGTGCCGCATCAAGCCAAATGCCATTATGCGCAACCCATTCCCGTCTCAAGCTTTCGAGCGCCGGGTCTTCCGTAACGACGCTTATTTCGGTCAGCTTATTCCCGCAACCACAGGCTCTTGTCTGCTGCTGAACGTTGCATAGCAATATAGCAGGAAACAGGTCGCTCACGGTGTTTGGCTCACTAGCTGTTGGGGAATGCGAACTAAGCATGTTGTTGATCTCACTTGAGTAAGAAATATTTGTGACGGGTCGAAGTTGTTGATCGCTTTTTTCTTCCTTTCAAAATACAACGACCGAAGTCGGGGCTTGGGTCACCAACCACATCATCTTATTTAACGGCATTAAAAAGTACAAAGGAAGATTTGGGACATGAGAAATAGACCTCATATTAGGGGAACGTTTAAAAACACTCTTGGGCCTCTTAAGTCCATTTTTGGTATAGTGAAATAGTATGCAAAAGCTTATACTTTAAGGTTAATTTTTAAAGGACCTGGAGATTTTGCTTGTTTTACTTCTGCATACTAATAATGCCGTTCTCTTGTATTTGTTACATGAAAGCTTAAAGTTCCTGCAGCAGCAAGTTAACCTATCATTTTGTTTGCACTGGGCAAAAAAGTTCACATTTTCTAAAGCAAGCTCACCAATGGCCATGTTTGCACAACTTACTGAACCACAAATTTAGCCAACTGCATTTTAGCTTGGGGGGGTTGGTTTGGGTTGTAGTCAATGAGTCATGTGAACCCAGCAAATTAGGTTGAGTGAACCATGCCTAAGTAGGTCATATAAATGCATCCATTTTTTTAATGCTAACTACCCATTGCTCTTCCTCTTTTGTTAGAGGTATGTGCTTCCCACCCTACGTAACTCCAGATAATATCCAACATTCCTTTTTCTTCATTACACAAAATTAAATATCTATGATCTGTAGAGAACAAAGAAAAAAAAGGTTGTATTCTTACTACTAGAAAGGGACAGAGTTTCCTGTAATTTTGCTTTTATATTGCTTCAGATACCTGCATTATGCGTTTTGATGTAAAATGGAACAGTGTTATTTGCCACACCATCTTAGGCTACTCCTTGTCCTTAGGCTAGCTCAGTGCTGAAAGAGGAATCAGAAACTTCAGCACAGAAACATTTCTTCTATTGGTAATTTGTTTTTGTAAGTACAATTTTTTTCAAACAGAAACATAAATAAAAATGTTGAAGAGAACAACCAAAAATGTTAGATACAGACACTGCTAAGAAATACATAGTTAATTATGGGAAGTAACCTAATTTTCTTAAACAAATTAACTATGTTATACATGATAAATTAATGCAAAAATGTTTGCTTTATTCTAAATACTGTATGTATTAGCCCAACTCCAGCACACAGCACAATAACCAGAATGGTAAGAGTGTTGTTTCAATATGATTGAACATTTTTAAAATATGCTATATAACATCTAAGCCTGGCTGCCTTATCTGGGCTGCAGAAATCTAGACAATCACTAGATGGCAGCAAATAGCCATCTCTTTGTTGTTTAGCAGTCATCTGGATTACTGCAGCCCAAATATGTCAGTCCTAGTTTAAGAGCGCAAGCCCAGAGATTTGCATATTTAAATGCATGATTTCGTGCTTTAACATTTTTTGAATGATCCAAACACAGGGAGATTTATGTAAAGGACAGTAATCTGACTTCACTAGAAAGCAATGTGCAGTTTCCAGCACTGTAATAGATAAAATACCAATGAATATGCTATCTGAAGAAGTATATTTGTCCACCATGAAATATAACTTATTCATTGTTGCAGGAAAGACTAGAAATACAACCATGAGGGAAATAATCTGGACAGCTTGCAATAAAACAATTGCACCAATGCTTTGACCTGGAAAGGATTCCTGGGAAAATCCTAAAACCAAACAGGAAACCAACTTGACTTTTCAAGCAGCAGGGAGATTATGCACACAATGCATGCAAACAGTTAAATCTTAAAAGTTCCAGTCAGCAACAGAAAACAAGTCTGGCAACCCAAACCTGCTCAGTAATATCATAGGGGCCAGCCTCTTTAAAGATGTTTATTGGTCATATACAAAATAAAGAATGCTTCATATCAACAAACATACACTATATACATAAATAAATTAACAACACCTCCACTGGGGCTGTGGCAACAAATCCCCAACAGTTATCTACAGATTGAAAAAGGACAATAATTTAGCAATAAATACTGATTAATTACTTGGGTTCAACTGTTGTACAGGAGAGACCCAGGACGTGACAGTATGCTTTTACACCCCTAGCACATAGAATTCATCTCCAGTTGTATCAGCTATGGAGACTGAATTTCTTATTATCAAAATGTTCCTCCCCAATCTTTTAAACAAATATTTTAAAGCAGTAGTGAAGTCATTTCAATTAATATTTTTAAGGACTATCTTCAACATCTGGAGTGGGGAGGAGCAGTCATCAGTTCATTTCATTAAGTACACCAAATATAATTTATCTTGTTTCTCCATAATATTCCAGTTTGACAAAGGGTGTAATAAATTCAGAGCAAACTGCAGGTGAGGACAAGGGCAAGTAGCACTTGAAACTGCATGGGAATCCCAAACACCTTTGCATAGCCAGATAGTAACATATCTTTACTGGGAACTAGGAGACTACTCACTCAACTGCGCAGTACCTCTCATTCATGCAAGTGTCAGCTGCAAGCATCCAGAGCTCACATACTGTTTATCAGATATGGAAGGATAAAATAAGTCCTCACTACTTGGAAGAACCTGCCTGAAGCTCACAGCTAGACCACTACGTGAACCTTTCTGCATAGGGAGGAGTAATACTCTGTATTAGCAGTCACAGCTATTCACTGTTACATTAGAGGAAACAGCAGCAATGCTATTATACCAGACAGGAACATTCCTGCACGTTAATAATTATTTTACTGGCAAAATACAGTTTGAGATATCAGAAAGAGGTGAAAGGCAAGTTGTCAAAAAGTGCTTCTATCTTCACTGGCATACAAGACAAGGTACCACTTGAGCACACTACTAGTCCAAGTGAAAGTAATAAATAGATATGCCAGCTCTGCTCACTGCTAGATTATAGTGAAATGCCATCCTACTTCTCTGGAATGTGCCAGTGTACAGCAGATGCAAAAACCTGATCAAGGACACAAGGAACACCAAAGTTGTCATGTCTTCTATGCACGGTAGTACATGCCCTCCCACTCCTGCATCTATTCCACCCAGGAACATATTCCCCAAGGACAACATCTGAGCAGCCTCCACCCATTACTAACAATCACATTCCCCAGCTCTTAGCCTGCAGTCTTTCTTGCGTTTTTCTGAAAAGAAAAAGTTGTTTCGTTATCCAAAATATCACTTTTACATAATTCACCACGACATAAATGACCCTCCCCTTCCCACCCACCCCCCCAAGCCAGCCACATGTGGGTGGAATTATACTTCACGGAGCCGTTCTGCATCCAAGTAGAAAGCAAAGCTCTCCACCTGTTGCATCAAGCAAAATGCCCCATTAAAAAAATAAAACAAAAACACCCTTCACAGCAGGAAAACCAAACTGTCACCTAGAAAACAAGAACCATCACACTCTGAATGCTATATACCAGAAAAAGAAATTGAGGAGGAAGGGCTTGAGAGGGGACTCTAGGACAGAAAAAACTCATGAACACTAAAAGGAGACAGACTGAAAGTGAAGGAAGACGGGAGGTGTGAAGGGCTCCCTTGTCTCCTCCTCCCCCACTCCAGTTGGAAGATTTACCATTGAGTTCTGGAGCCAGATTTGCTCAATACATATCCATCTGCTTGTAAGAATGTCTTCCAACCCATTCAGATGAGGAAACTGTCTCACTTCTCTAGCCTTGAAAAGGGCAAAAGGCGCGCCTTGAGGGGAAAGTGGCACCTTAAAGATGAGCAAATGTATTATGGCATAAATTTATGTGGACAAGTCAACTTCAGTGGATAAATTAAGTATTATCCCAAATTGGCCAACTAATATACATATTGTTTGTGGAGGGAAATGTTATTTTAGGCAGAACAGACAAAAGTTAATTGCAAGAAATATAGATTGCAATGATTACATTACAGCTCAAATATATTTTAAAAATTTACAGTGACCACAGACTAATGCGGATAATGTAAATATCTTGCACTGTTTGTGTTACCAACTTTGCAGAAAATGGAAACTATAATATGAGAGAGAGAGAGAGAATAAGCTTTAATAAAATTTTTACTCTGTGTTTTTGTATCTAAAATGTGTCTGGGTATTTGTTTTTATACACATACATCAAAGCCAATTTAATATCTAATGGATCTGCTGAAGTAAATTCTAGTCCACAAAAGATGATATAATAATACTTGTTAGTCTTTAAAGTGCCATGACACCACTAGTTTTGCTACAAAAACCAACCCAGCTACTCTTGGGAAATCTAGAGGACAGACTTTCTTTATCAGAGGCTTCTCGTGGGATCCAAGATCTAGATGGTAAAACAAGCAACCCAGGAAGAAGGAGCACCAAAAGAAATCTAGCCAATTCTAAGGAGTAAGGACTGCCAATCAAGAAATGTCTAGGATGATATATACTCATGGGACTGAAGAGATCCAAAACTACCCATCTGGCTGAAAAGAAATTTCTACTCCAGAAAGGCAGCCCCACATGGAGCTGTATTTTAATAGTATGGAACTATCACCAATGTCTTCACCCTGCTTTCCATGGGGCAATGAGCAATTACAGCACAGAGAAGCATGCCAAAACAATGGAGTTAAAACAGCAGGCAGCTCAGATTAAGAGTTGTTGCTCATCCATCCAGGTCTCATAAATGCCTTTCATGCAAAGGAAGCTATGACCAAGAGACCTAACATTTCAATCCAGAACCCACCTCGTTTATAAATTTGATGGTCAGAAAACCCAAATTACACACTATTGTTATTTGCAAGTTTGACACGAAAGCATAAATATTGCTTATTTAGGTTACAACTGTTTGGTTTTCACAGAATTTGGATTTCTTTGGCAAGGACTAGAAAGTGGAAGGCAATGAAGGGAAGAAATTATCTACAGCTTAAAGATGGAGAGAAAGATGCAAGGAGGTAGAGTGATATGGAACAATTAAACATAGGAAAGTTCTGGCTCTAGTAATTCCACACAGACTTGCATTGGTTTCTAAGTCTTTCAAATTAGCAGTGATAAACATACACCTGGGGAATTATCAGATTTTACTAGCCTCAATATAGCTCAGAGTAATTTATTCCACACAGGTTTAATTATTTTTAGGATCAGAAACCTAAAAGCCTTAGTAAGGCAAGGCTTAACAATAACTGCTATTGTATGCAGCAACCTGTTTTCCATTCCTTCTAAATCTGAAATAAAAAGTAGCAACTAATGTGGCAAATGTGATTTCTGGTAGAATCTGCAGCCAAGGCAAGCGCATGTTCACATCAGAGTATCTTGTTATTTTTCTCTTTCTCTGCAGTCTGTTGTTCTTTGTTCCTGTGCATCCCTCAGCTGCACTCTGCACATCTGTAGTTCACATATGCAACGAACAGCACAAAATACAACAATAAATACTACCTCCAATCTGCTGTGTCAAAGGGGCAGCTGAGATGCTGTAAGGAACGACTGCTGAATAGAAGGGCCCTTCCCTCCATTTCAGGTGAATAGTTTGCAGAGGACAGGGCTCTTGCAGTGGGGAAAAAAGGGAATTCCAGCAGATATGATCAAGATATTTTGAAAGCAAGTCCTCATTTAAAGCTTTTTTCCCTCCAGTCTTGCAGCATACTCTAGGCAGTGGAATTTTACCAGTTAATCGATATCAGGAAGATGACTTTCAGGGAATGGATTCTCAGCTGATTTTTGTTGAAAGCTGTTCCTGGATATGTTCTGGATAAGAATTTGCCCTAGAGGTCATTTGAATGTATTACCCTGCTTTAAAAGTCATTAAAGCTTCTTTTTATTTCTAACCATGAAACCTAGAATGTATTTGGAAGTTTTTGAAAAGCTGCAAGAGGTTTTTGAGCTCAGCCTCAGCTGTGGAAATTTCTAGAATCCACTAGCTGTGTCATTATAACAGAGATTCTAGTATCTGCTAACCAGAAAATGGTCAAATAAGGTTTTCTGAATATGCCAGTACTCAGTATTTATTAGCTGACACTAATTGTGCTCACTCTGATGGCCAGTTTTCTGGGCAAAATGTCGGGTTTTAAGTGCCCACCTAGAGTGATAGTCTAACAAAGATACAAACTCACATGTCCCTCTTGATAACACACCCATTGCTCCCTCCCTATGGACCAACTACTTCTGGCAAGCAACAGAGACGGTAAAGCAACTTTCTCTTTCTCTGATGACTGGTTCTTTTGGAGAAACTAGACTAGGCTTCCAATAAGACTATGTATCCAGAAGATAAAGCAATGAATTTGAACTTCCCTGGGTCACACTGACCATCACATGCTCTTTAGCCCTTACTGAGTTTCTGGCTTAGATCCCTATGTACTGTTCAACATGCTAAAAAACAGAAGGAAACAGGCAAGGGGGTGACAGAATCTCTGTAGTATTACCAGCAAAAGAATCCTGCCGGAATAGTGGATCTTCACAAATGCTACATATAGTCCAACTCTAGGAAACACAGATTTTGTGGACCCATTTGAAAGACATGCTGTCAATTCCCTCATCATTTCATAGTTCTATATTAACAACAGTGGTCCCTTCTACCCCACTACCATTGCAACTGTGGATTCAGCCTTTAGGAACACCCAGTCAAAGAACCAATTTTGGCAATTGTAATACAAGTGACATGATACAATGCAACACTGTCTGCCAGCTATCATTAAGCAGTTTTGGTAACTTCTTAAAAGAACTCCTTCTTTTCAGGCTTCAAATTCAGGTAATTTTCTCATGAGACAGAACCTTCAAGAAGGTCTACTGGCAAATGCCCAAGAAAACCTGCACTCAGCCCAGGGAAAGCCAAACGAATGCTCACAGGACATCCACATAGCAAAGTGGCCACTGGCACCACCACGTCACAGCGCCACACAAGACCTCAGAGCACAGACAACTAAATACAACAGGAACACAAAAGAAGCAGATGGGGAATTCAAGAATAAGTCACTTTTGGTACAATTGCAAAAAGATATCAAACAGGACTAGCCTCTTTTTTTTTGTTTTTTTTCCCTATGTTTTTATAAATAAAAGTCTAATAACTCTTTATAAAAACCAACCTCAGAGCCACAAAGACTTAATGAGAAATTTTTAAAATTTGTATTTTCTGTCTCCAAGAATATGACAATCAAATATTCTCACCTTCTCAGGCTAAAAGGAGACTGTTAAATAGAAGTGCTTCACCGAATTTTAGATTTGAAACTTAGATCATTTAATAACTCTTTAAAATGAATGCTTCTCTCTTAAATAAAGGGCTATTTAAACTACATAAACTAGTTGTGTAAACCATCACACTAGAGACACTGGATACTCTCCAAACACAGAAAACAACTAGTGATTTTGGTCTTGTTCAGTGCAACACATTAGGCACAAAACTGGCCTGTGGTCACTGCAATACAACCCACTTCTTCTGGTAGGTAGATACAACAGTGCTCATTCCTGGCTACTTTCCTTCCTCTGCAGCACAAGCACCAGGAAATAGCTGTTTCCCCACTTCCCTCTCCTTCAGGAAAAGTCCTAAGGAATCCTGTCTTCAAACCTAAAAGGCGCAACTAGATGGTAATATAAAAATGGTTACACAAACTACCCCCCTGATACCAAGCAATTTACAAGCAGCAGACTGGACAGCTGACTCAATCCTGGAAGAATGGTATTGAAGTCATCACTGACAGTAGGTCTCCCAACTTTCTATAACCTCTTCCCTCCCCTTTGGGTTATTCCTCCCCAAGAATGTATTCCATGCTGCTGAAAATCTCTTTGGCAAGAGTACTGAGGTCCTTCAGCCTCCATTTCCAGAATACACTAGGTGGAAGGTTCTGCTCACAATGGAAGGGGTGCATTACCATCAGTCACACCAACCAGAACAAGCTAAAAACAAAGCAACTGCAGTGACAAGCAGGCCAGCATGTGCCTGTGTGGGCTAGGCCATCTGGGAGAGGGTTGTGCTTTGGGGATTCCGGATGAGCTTTGTGCCTAACTGCCCTGCACAGACAAGCCCAGGCAGTGCTCGTTTCACTAAGACCGGGCGTCCGTTTTGGATTTCACTATTGTGATAACGCTGGTGGTGGCAACTTTGCCGGGAACAAGGGGCCCCATGCTGGAAGCAAGTGGGCCTCGGGCAGGGGTGACAGGGCTCCGGGCAACGGTCCGGGCGAAGTTCTGCAGTGCCTCGTACTTGGAACGCAGGGCATCAAGTTCCATTTTCATGCTGGCATTCTCTGAAGCCAGCTTCTCCACTTCCTGCTGAAGTTCTGCCTTCTGTTTCTCCAACTCTTCCTTCTGTGTCACCCTCTTGACACGGCAACTGGCAGCATACCCCCTGTTCTTCAGGGTTCGTCGGCGTTGCTTGAGTTGGATTATCTCTTCCTTAGATAAGCCCCGCAGATGCTGGTTCAACTCCCGTACAGACATGGTCACCAGCTCTTCATCTGTCAAGCTGGTCCCATTCTCCCCTGGCTCCCGCTTCACCTGCAGAGACAGCAGAAACAGGTTTTAGTGGAACTCTGGTTGTATGCATGCCCAGCTAATCCCAAGTTTTGCCTTATTACCTTCAAGGCTTTGTTTCCTTTGTTGGGGGTCGTCATAACACGCAAGCCTTCACAATCAGATTCTGTAAGAGAGAAAATGGCTAGATGTTACCAAAGTCAAGTTCTAGATCATCTAAAGGCATCTATATATACTCAGAGATTAGGCAGGAAAGTGAGCACCAATACAGGTGTTCTCTACATAGCAATGAACCAATAGAGGGACTTACATGATCTCCTGACAAATTCTGTCCCAGTCTCTGCCAACCCCACAGCTTTCTATAAATCTTAAGAGCAAATGTTCATGAAGAGGAAGATTTGGAAATTTGGGAGGAGCTAGAGTAGGATGAAACCACATTTAAAAATAGCCTGGCAGCCAGGGTCCTGCATGGCTATGCTGAGCCAGTCATGCTGACTCAGCATATTAGCAGCCTTGCTCACAGTGCACGCCTTATACTATAGTACAGCCTAGCAAGAGAGCTGCAGTCTAAGAGAGTTGCCAAGGAATTACCCTACAGACTTCTTTTGATAGGGTCCAAAGCAACACTATATTCCCATAGTTGTAAGGAAGAAGTCTTCAGAAATACTCCCTATGAAAGAAAATGATGTCTGCTAATTAATCCATTCGCCTGAAGCATTCCTTTATCTGGAAAACAGAACAGCAAGACTAGAGGGTGGAAGGAGAGGACAAGGAGAAGGGGATAATAGGAAAAACACAGAACCTTAGAAAATTGCATGTCTCCAAGTTATACAATAATTGAATAGTCATTACTGAACACAAATCCATTACTGTAGTTCTGATAATCTGCCTTCTTTTGAATAGCTTTTGCCATGCATGTTAATAGGAGAATGGTGGTAGGTACACAAAACAGAAAAAAACAAAAAACAAAACCATCTGGGTGGGATTCTGACCAGCAATACAGAACTTAAATGCTTACATCCATTTCCCTGTCCAGTTGCCTCCTTTCACACTGCCATCTTACTCACAAAACATTAGGACTAAAAAGACAGGTACAGCATCTCAGGTAAAGCTGAGATAGAGCTATTTTTTAGAGATGCAGATAAAAATCATCCACATTCTTATGAAATCACCTATTAGTTTATTATATTCATTGTGCATTGTTCTAAATTTCCAGATAATTTATTGTTTAGGAAATGTGTGCCACCTGTTACATTGTTTATTATTATTTCAGAAATTCTTCTGGAAAGTGGAAAATTTAAGGAAATTTTAAAATCCACAGCAGTTATGCTTCCTCATTCATACTTTTAACATCTGTTTAGATAGGGGAATACAAATTATAAAACCAGTATTCACAAGAAACAGAGCTTCTCTGAGATAACAAGTATGCTGGCTAGCAACTTTACATTAGCTGAATACAAACTGTAATCTTTATTAATAACTTTCATTTATGAAACATTACTGAAACCACTATTTACAGTTTCAAAACAGAAGTCACAAGAGATCTTACACACACACACACACACACACACACACAATCACATACAGAGAAACCTTGCCGCCCACTGTGGCTGTCTGAGTAAACCAAAACTACCCACTCCAGTTTCCCAAACACAGGAAACCAAATACTTCCATTCTGTTCTCAACATTCAACCTGAAACTGTGTGCAAGAATAGTTACTTTCTCTTAAAGAAGGCCTGATATCTCCCCAAAACTATTGTAGCTGATGTAGTAAATCTCTTTTACTACCTTTAATTACTCCTCTGGAACAGCTCTGAAGCCACAACAATTGCCTCCCCCCCAAAAATATATTTCCTAAGGGGGAAAAATGGCTCAGGGTATGTCAAGCATGGGGAAATCACCATGGATAAGGATTTTTACCATTATCTCCCACTCATGTGTCTCAGCACGTGGTGGCACCTGGCTGATCATATCTGAGCTCAAAAGCTAAGCAGGGTCTGGACTCATGTGGGAGACCATCAGAGCAGCTCACAGCTCTGGGGCTAGACATCAAGTAAAAAGATATCTCAGAAGAAGGCAATGGTAAACCACTTCCAAAGTGATTTCCCCCAAAACTGCATGGATGCAGTTTACCTTTTACCCACCCAAGCATATCACCAGTATTTACATAATAAATGCCTCTCCCACACCATCCAGATTCTTGTTTGCTGAATGTATAAAACATCAGTTCACATTTATAGCAGAGAACCAAGACAAGCTAGTGTCAGCAAAAGCAAAAAATGGTCCCCCAGCAGCACCCCAGAAGGGATGGCTTCAGCGCTTTCTAAGATCACTAATAAGCCAGCCAAACAACTCAGATACTCCTAGAGCACTGAAAATTGCTGACAAGCCAAATTCTTGTGCCCAAAAGACATGGCTACGGTCACTGATTAAAGCTCTATCACACTTAATATAGTGGGGCACAACTGTCTTAATGGGACCCCATTGCCTTATTTTTGCTTTTGCAGCTAAGAAGCAAGTTTGAAACAGTTACTAATTGTAAACTAAGACACATACTGTATAGCTTACTGTGCTTTACTATCAAAAAGTTTTAGATCCACAATTTGGGAATCAGTATTCCAAGCAGGTGGATAACACAGTCACTTACTGGGAGCCAGGTTTTCTGATTTGGCGAAAAATTACAAGAGGAAGAAAGCTTCCGTCCCTGTAACACTGCTTGAAATATTGGTTAAATAAATGCAGATACAACTATGTTCACTGATGTATATTTTTAATTTTTAATTTTCCGGCTTTATCTAAAAACCACATGCAGCCATAGGCACCTGGAATGAAACTGTAAACAACGTATGGGAAGTCACCCATCCATTGAAAAGTCAAAGTACTGATTGTTTAACCTACACTTCTTTGCCATATGGATTTTATCTGTAACATGTCAGTTAAGTACCACTGCTAACACTGCAAGGGGAATACAAACACAGGCAAGACAACAAAAACTGTATGACCAAAAATATATTTGATATCATAAATCCAATACAGGTCAGAACATTAAGAATCACAATGCTAGCATAAGTGATAATCAATAATAATCCCAAGGAAATGCTACCTAGTAGGATTGTATACAAGATTAATTGCCTTGACAATTTAGTGAGGCTCTTCATAGGGCAAGTACAGCACTTCTAGTATATATCAGGATTAATGCTTAGGAAAGCAGCTAACATTTGGGAACGGAGAAGATTACACAAAAAGACTGGGAGCTGATTGGGGCCGATCTTCATTGTTAAAAGTGATTGGTGCAGGCTGCTGTGCAAAAAAGATGAAGTATACTCATAGGTCCAGTAGCTTTGACAGGTGAACACAGAAAAATTCTTTACTTGTCCTAAACTTCTAAAGATTAAAAATATTTTAATTCAAGGAATATAATATCAGTTATCAATATCAGATATCACCCAGGTCCAATACTGGAAAGATTCATTAAAAAAAAGTAAACTACTAAAGAAAGGGATTATGAAGTAGGAAAAAAATATGAAAATTTTCACATTCTGTATTCAGCCTGAATTAGGATTGTACAAGGTCTTTCTACAGGCCTGTCTTGCTACCCACAGAAGCTGGACTTGTTAATATCTTGCAAGAAGGACAGCCAGAGAGAATTGGCATCCAGACAGAGACAAACTTAGTCTAACTCCCTAGACTGCTGATTTCTCAGCTTTTTGACAGCTTCCCGAAGAAAGATCACACTGAAAAGTGCCAAGTGCGATGGCTGCAAAGGAAAAAAGTGCAAGCTCAACACATTTTGCCAGGAGTCAAAAAGGCCTGCACTCAGCACAAGTACCGCCAATTCTTTGCTTACAACGGAGCTGACAGCAGAGTGCATGATTCAACACAGGCCCCATTCTCAACATTCCTGGTTCAGAGAGCTATGCCATCAAACTAGTGTAAACACAATGACATCACCCATTCCAGCAGTAAAGGCAGCACCATCACAGGAAGAGGGAAAGCTTCAGGAGATGAGAAAGAAAATGGGATATAGAGGAGAATCAGAAGCTGGATGGCAGACCCACGTGGGAGGTTTTTCCACGGGTGTAGCATAAAAAGCAATTTCAACACTATCTCATAAATAAAATAAATAAATCTTGTTCTCATCTACAGGCATATGGCTCTGCTGTTCATACATTTATAGAAACTTACCTACAAATAACTTTCCAATTAGCTTTCTAAACTTACACTGACATTTTAGCTAGTGTCCTTAACTGGGCAAAACAACATGGAAGGAAAGATACCATCACTAGTGAATCCTGCCTCCTCCAATTCAACATCTGGCCCCAGGCAAAGTCTCCCAAATGTACATAATGTTTCAACTTACTTACTTTCTACCAGTGTACCTCTTACTCAGCAGAATAGAAAGGAAATCAAAATTCCACTCTTCCTACATATCTTTAGAAGACTCTCAACCTCACACGATTCTTATAATTGAAACACTACTCATCTTTATACCAAAAGCAAAACTTTCCCCATAGCTATGGATTTTTGTTTCTAAATAAAATACATTTATTTTGCTTCCTGTGTGCCACAAGTCACACAAGGCATTGCAATTCTGTAAATACTGAATACACATTAAGTTAGTCAAATAATTTCAGCACTTACTGTCCACTGGCCTATTTATCTCAGATTTGAGGTCAAAGAGAAATAGTGGGACACATTTCAGTTTTTAAATCAAGTTCACCTTCTGATTGTCTTGGCTCTGTCCATTTCAGATATGACTGGCTTATAATATCACAATTATTCATTTTTCTCAAAATAGATGTATCACAAAAAGATTTTTTAAATTTTATTTTAGAATCACAAGAAAAAATCTCTGTCAAAAGGACATCATACTGAAGTGGCTAGCTCTTTTTACCTGCAATACATCTACAGATAATTAGTATGCCTTCACTGTTCAAATTTATTTATACATCCATTAATACCTAAGCACTATTAGACTGGCAGAGGACAAACTGTCCTCGGTAGGTGATGATGGAAGAGCTCTCCAGAGGGAATTTCCCAGAAGGGACTCAACAGAGAACAGGATGCACTTGTTGCACATCTGTGCTTTGGTGTACGAATGAGCAGTCCAGAACTGCATTTCTATGTCTTCTGCATTTCTGTGAAACAACATGCCAAAATCTTTTTTCAGAGCCCTTGAAAACACTGTTTGTGTAAGAGACGATATGAACTACAACAGAAGGAGCATTCCCATAAAGCTATGGTTTTCAGGACCTATAATTTTACTAAGATTATCCAAAACAGAAGAGTCGGCACGTTATGCACAGAGAGCGTAAGGCCATGTCAGCACCTCTCCCATCCACTCCCCAAAGGATTCCCAACAGCTCCATAAACCATCTTTACCAAGTTCATATTCACACTGTCTCCCTTCTTCTCATCCGCTACCAATGGATACAACACTACAGTAATGCTAAGGATCAGCAACTGTCACAAGGACTTAAATACAGACAAGTAGCTGAACGAAACGGGATCTCAGGTCAAGTCTTGACCACCCTACAAAATGATGAATCAGCAGATTACCTCTTTGGGTTCCCCTCTTTATTTTGGCGGGTCCCCTTAACCCCAGTCAGTCCCCATCTCTTTTTGTGCAGCATATACTTATGGGTGACCTCATGTTGATGAGTCAGCAGTGTCTGGACTCTGCACACAGAAGGCTGCGCCAGGAGATACAACAGGGTCATTTGGTCCGCCTCATCTGTGCACTCCGCGAAAGCACCCTCTCCTGAGCCCCACCCCAAATACATTCGGCCCTTTCCTCCCTTTCCAGACACCTGATGAGTCAGCACGGCAAGCCCTTTTCACACTCGCAGACATGGCTGCGCGTCTCGGAGCCGCACACACAGACAGAAGCGTGCGGGGAAGCGGCTTACCTCCCTGCTACTTTCTCAGATCGTGAGGGCGCACGCAAGCTATGCAGTCCAAGAACAAGTGGGGAAGGGCCCGACTTCTTCTTTCAACCCCACCTCTTGAGAAGAAAACTCAACCACCATGACGATCCCGGAAAAAGAGAGGAGCCGGGCAGCGACGGCATTTCTCTCCCGCGACCTGCCGCCGCGGGCAATAAGGACGGCCACCCACGCCGCAGACCCACTCAAAGGGAAACAGGCAGGGAGGGAAGGAAGGAAGGGGGAAACCCACCCACCTGTCAGCCACGGAAAAGGAAGTCAGCGAGCGGGGGAAGAGACGGGAGAGGCAAATCTCGACGGGTGAAACGCGGAATCCCGCTCCGTCAGGCTCACCTCGCCCTCCCAGCCTCCCCACCCTGACACGCGCACCCTCCTCCGAGCCCGCCAGCACAACACCCGGCGTA